CGTTAATTTTAAATTTACCGCTCACAGTGTGCTGTTTTCGTCGCGCTGTGATGATGTCACGTACGCGCTTTCGTCGAGCGTGCTTTAGTCTACCGCGGATTTGTGGTGGAACCGGGAGTTCCATCTGAAAATCCACCATTTCTTTTGTCCTAGTATTTCTGGTGGGCTACAATATCCAAATATGAGGGGCTTCCAGGTGATTCCTCTTACTTGGGTGAGGAAGTTGTTTTTCTTCTCTTGTTTCAAGCAAAGGTTAGGGAATAACCGGTTGGGATAAAATGGGACCATCCTGATTTAACCTTTGAGCTAGTAGACAGAATGTGTCATGTTCCTGGGAAATCTTTTGCTGAGTTAGAGATCTGGGCTGCAGCTTTGTCCACGGGCTACGTCAAGGAAAGGAGATGAGATAAGGGATGAGGTTGGGCTGAATCAGCTTTCCTGACAGGCACTTTAAACCCAGGCCAGGGTTGATGTCAATGTCTTGGCTGGAGAAGACAAGGGGAAGACGAACGTTGAGCCAATAAAGTATTGCAGTATAAAGGAGTTACGTTTCATTATCTTTATCTCCCCTCGTCTTGCAATCTCGGTTCTGCTGTTTCAGACACCACCACTAATAAGTTCTGGATTTCAGGAATCTAATAAATTTCCCATCTGAATGACTGCCCCTTTGTCCAGTTCTTGTGGCTCAGATCTCATTCTATCTCAGTCATTCTCATTTTTTAAAAAAAACATCAGCTAAGGATGAAAAGGAAGCTTTCGGACACTTAGCCAACCATCTCTTTAACTATCCCTTCTGTATCTGCTATTTCTCCATCTTAAGCAAGCAGTGTTATCGTTTCAGGTTTTTTGCTTTTCCTGGAGAAGAGTTAATTTATATATATATGGAAGGATCAGAATTCGGAGGGTGTTTTGGGATTGTTTGTGTGTGTGTGATTGTGTTAATAACCAACTAAGTGTAGGGATTAGTTGTCGATCAGAAAGGTCGGCGACTTGGTGGTACGAATCCCTAGCGCCGTGTAACGAACTGAGCTCCTGTTATTTGTCCCAGCTTCTGCCAACCTAGCAGTTTGAAAGCATGTAAAAATGCAAATAGAAAAAATAGGAACCATCTTTGGTGGGGAGGTAACAGCGTTCCATGCAGCTTCAGCATTGAGTCATGCCGGCCACATGACCACGGAGATGTTTTTGGACAGCGCTGGCTCTTCGGCTTTGAAACAGAGATGAGCACTGACCCCTAGAGTCAGGAACAACTAGCGCATATGTGTGAGGGAAACCTCTACCTTTATCTTAATCACAGGGAAAGGAAAGGTAGATGAAAGATCAACCATCTTATCTCCAGATGGTTTCAAATAGGCATGAAAAGGGATTATTATGCAACTGGCGCGCAACACACCTAAAACAGGCAGAGTGTGGATTTGAGTTTGAGTTTCATTTTATTTATATGCCGCCCTATTCCCTGCGGGACTCAGGGCGGCGCACAAACCTGAAGGAGGGGAAGGGAAAAACACAAAAACTACAAAAGTACAGGGCATTTAAAAAAACAACCAACAGCCACACGATTCAAGAAGGGGAAGGGAACTCATCAACCCCAGGCCTGCCGACACAGCCAGGTTTTAACGGTTTTTCGGAAGGCCCGGTGAGAGGTGAGGGTCCGAATCTCTGCGGGGAGTTCGTTCCAAAGGGCCGGAGCCGCCACAGAGAAGGCCCTCCCCCGGGTAGTAGCCAGATGACATTGGCTGGTAGACGGAACCCGGAGGAGGCCCACTCTGTGTGATCTAATGGGTCTTTGGGAGGTAATTGGCAGCAGGCGGTCTCTCAAGTACCCAGGTCCAATACCATGAAGGGCTTTATAAGTGACGACTAGCACCTTGAAGCGTATCGAGACCATTCGGTAACCAGTGCAGCTCGCGGAGGATAGGTGTAACGTGGGTGTACCGAGGATTGCACCAACCCAGCTGCAGTCAGATCAATCACATCATTTTTGATCAGGCTAAGGGGATGCACCAATCTCCTAGAGATGTCTTGGCTGGCCCTTAAACTTTTCCCCTCTCTATTTTTGTTAAAAAAAACAAACCTTGTTGGTCTCTACAAAGTACCTTCATAGGGATTAGAATCCAACATTAGAAAAACCATGTTTGATCATGCACAGACTGGATCTTGCCTCTCTCCAACTAACCCCTCAGCTCTTTAAATCTTTTCGATATCGAGGGGCATATGGTTGCTAAACAATTTGCAGTATCTTTCTGTTCCACGGTTCGCTGAATAGGGCAGGTGTGAGGCCTTGCTCTCTTTGCAATTTGCTCACAATTTTTTTTCTCTCTCTCTCTTTTGCAAGCGAGACGGTTGCAAAAATATGTTATGACAAAGAAGAAACCAAAATACCAGCTTCCCTAAATGCTCTGTGCTCAGCCTGGAAACCAAACAGCTTACAGTACAAGAGAGGCATAATTAAATTGGCCTGCTTTGGCAGCTGTGTTGATTGTATAGATTGAATCTCTCTCTGCCTGTCGATACGCCAAGTGACAATTTGAGCTTTCTTTGATGAAAGCGGCACATCTGTTTTTAGCCAAGAGTATCACACAATTAGAACGCTCGCCAGTTGGACTGTAAATGACTTCACACAGGGCACAGAAACAATTTTGGGTGCCCAGTCTAAAGATTGTATTACTTTAGTACAGGTTTTGTGACCTGGGGACCCAGCAATGCAGGTAGTCCTCGAGTTATGATTTCTTTTGCTGAGCGAGACAGTGCAGCGAGTTTTGCCCCGTTTCCCATCTTTTCTTGCCACGGTTGTTAAGTGAATCACTGCCGTTGTTAAATTAGTAACTCGGGTGTTAAGTGAATTGGGCTTCCCCAATGACCTGGCTTGTCAGAAGGTGGCAAAAGGATGTCTTCTGACCCTGGGACTCTGCAACTACCATAAACATGAGTCGGTGGCCAAGCATCCAAATTTGAATCACATAAAAAAACGGTCATGAGTCTTTTTTTTTCATTACCGTTGTAACTTTGAATGGTCACTAAATGAATAGAGTGGGTTGCTGCCGGCGTTGCTGCTGGTTGATGGCGTGTGTGAACGCAGTTAAGTGTAAATTGTTCTCCGCATGCACAGAACATTAAAAAATTGATTAAAAATCAAGCCGGCAACAACAGCAATGAGTGGGGAACTGGTTCAGGGGCGTGGCCAGCCGCCGTCCCTACCGGTATGACGACCCGGTCCCAATTTCCACTACCGGTTCACCTGAAGCGGTGCAAACCGGTAGCAACCCACCTCTGATCTGTAGATGAAACCACATTTTTTTCTAGAGGTCTTATTGCGTGTGCTATTTCGAGCATCAGGAACATACCTAAGCTAAACGTATCTTAATCATCTTTGTTTTGTTTCACCTATTGTTGCACTTCATTAAATAAAATAAATAATAGCGATAGCAAACAAGTCCTGCCAGTAAAGTTTTTTTAAAAAAATATTCATATCAGATTAACCTTTCGTACTGATAAACCACATGATCGTCATTAAGAAGATTATAAAGGTAGATAACATCAAAACTTCGGACAAGAAAGGAAGAGGAAACGTAAATCAAATGACTGGAAATCGCCCAGCTGTTGAAAGTCAGGTGGTATATAAATTATTATTACCAGTAAACAAAACCATTTCTGAGAATTTGGCCAGATCGAATTTAACAGAATAACAGCATTGGAAGGGACTTTGGAGGTCTTCTTATCCCATCCCCTGCACAAGCAGGAGCCCCTACCATTGCTGAAATTATTTTCTTGTCCTGGTGAAAAGAAGGAAGGAAGGAAGGAAGGAAGGAAGGAAGGAAGGAAGGAAGGAAGGAAGATTTACAAGAATTGCAGCATCATGTACAGTAGTTAGCATTTGCAACCTTCCCAGCTGGCTTCAGACAAACAAAGCGAGGGAAGCTGAATTTGCTTCATGACCACAAGTTTCATTTAGCAAATGCACTATTTCACTTAATAACCTGGGCCCAAAACATACAATCAGGCCTGACTCACTTAACAAACGCCTTGCTCAGCAATGAATTCTGGTCCTTCCGGTCCTTCTTATGGGTCATAAGCAGTGGTGGGATTCAAAAATCTTTACTACCGGTTCTGTGGGTGTGGCTTGGCGGGCATAGCGTGGCGGGCATGGCATGGTGTGGCTTGGTGAGCATGGCAGGGGAAGGATACTGCAAAACACCCATTCCCTCCTGATCAGCTGGGACTCGGGAGCCAGAGAATAGATGGGGGCGGGGCCAGTCAGGTGATATTTACCAGTTCTCCGAACGACTCAAAATTTCCGCTACCGGTTCGCCAGAACTGGTCAGAATCTGCTGAATACCACCTCTGGTCATAAGTTAAGGACTACCTCCATTCCTGGAATTAACAGCTGTGCTCATAGACTTAACATGGGTCCAAGGATGGAATTGGAAAGAAGACTCCTGCCTTAGAGGCTTCTTCACTTGAAGCTTCTACCTGGGATCTCTGCTAAACCCAACCTCTGTTTTTGCTCCTGCAGACGGTCTCTTGCCCAATGAATGCAATAACTGAGGACCTTTACGCCAATGGCTCAGCCAAGAACGGTAGCCTCACTCACGCCAACGGACACGAGTTGCGGAAAATACGCTTAATCCAGTTTGAGAAGATCACGGAGGAGCCCATGGTGAGCTGGTGGGAAAAGAGGAGCTGAGACATAATTTGGGGCACTCCAGCTGCTGGGGGGGGGGGGAATCACCGCCTTGATCTAATGCTAATGATTCAGCCTTTTTAGATACCTTTGGCTTGGATGATTGAGTCTTCATTGACATATTGCAGTTCATTTTGGGGGGAAAACCCCTGTAGGGCAAGAGTTAGTACATTCCAATGACTCTGAATATTTTTTTTAAAATTTTAACTGGTGGAATTACAACAAATTTTGGTCCAGTTGCCATAAGTTAACCTTTTTAGATATACTGCCTTCATCCTCTAGGCAAGCAAGTGCAACAAGTGAGAAAGGAGTGGGTCAACTGTGCACAAAAGAATAGTTATTGTTTCTTTGGTCAAAAAGCTTGTACCAATAAAGGAGAATATTTGTAGCTCAGGGTTGGAATGAGGGGTCCTTGGTGCTCTCTGAGCTTGGCTATTTTCTTGCAAACATTTCATTGCCCAACTAGGTAACAACATCATACCAGTTAAGAGCTGTGGTGGCGCGGTGGTTAGAGTGCAGTACTGCAGGCTATTTCTGCTGACTGCCGGCTGACTGCAATTTGAGAGGTTGAAGCTCACCAGGTCCAAGGTTGCCTCAGCCTTCCATTCTTCTGAGGTCAGTAAAATGAGGACCCAGATTGTTGGGGGCAAGATGCCGACTCTGTAAACTGCTTAGGCAGGGCTATAAAGTACTGTAAAGCGGTATATAAGTCTAAGTGCTATTGCAGGTTAGCTCTGCCCATTGTCAGGAATTCGATCTTGACTGGCTCAAGGCTGACTCAGCCTTCCATTCTTCTGAGGTGGGTAAAATGAGGACCCAGATTGTTGGGGGAAAGATGCCAACTCTGCAAATTGCTTAGGCAGTGCTGTAAAGCACTGTAAAGCAGTATATAAATCTAAGTGCTATTGCTATTAGGAGCCCTGGTGGCGCAGTGATTAGAAGGCAGTATTGCCAGCAGTTTGATCCTGACTGGCTCAAGGTTGACTCAGCCTTCCATTCTTCCGAGGTGGGTAAAATGAGGACCCAGATTGTTGGGGGCAAGATGCCGACTATGTAAACTGCTTAGGCAGGGCTATAAATTACTGTAAAGCGGTATATAAGTCTAAGTGCTATTGCAGGTTAGCTCTGCCCATTGTCAGGAATTTGATCTTGACTGGCTCAAGGTTGACTCAGCCTTCCATTCTTCCAAGGTAGGTAAAATGAGGCCCCACATTGTTGGGAGCAAGAGGCTGACTCTGTCAACCACTTATAGAGGGCTGTAAAGCACAGTGAAGCGGTATATAAGTCTAAGTGCTATTGCTATTGCTAGTTAGAGTAAGGAAAAGTCTGCGAGAAAACAAGCAAGCTCGGAGAGCAACAAGGACCCCTGAAAGAGCTTTTCTCAAAAACCGTACTTGGATGGAAGGGGATTCTTCCATTGTTCTGCGCTGTCTGGCAGCTTTAAAGAATGACAGTGGAGTCAAAATCAAATGGAGTATGACTAATGAGCAAGGCTTCTTCCGAGATGCCAAGCCATGGTAGCACGCCATTACTGGTTAACTTAAACGCTGCATTTCAATCCCAAAAGTTCCCACAACATAATTTAGATCTTGGACCAAAGTTTCTTTTTGGTGTTTTTTTTTAAGATGCAGGATAAAAGGAAAGGCAGAGAGGGAAGGGAGAGGAAGATATAAATCTCAGTTCAGTTAGTCACATTATTCTTCTCATCCCTATTCCCGATCTCCTTTTCTACTTATGATGATAACTTTGTTGCTGGTATCTTCACAATTTATATTGTTTTATTTAGTTTCCTAGCGTGGTTTATGTTGATTGCTTCTTTAGTATCTTATTACTATCACTCAGTGTTGTATTGTAGGATATATGATGGATGTATTTTTATGATGACTATGATCATGATTGATCACTTAGAGCTTTTATGTACAATGGAAGCTTATGCACTGAAGACAAATTCCTTGTGTGTCCAATCATACTTAGCCAATAAAGAATTCTATTCCGTTCTGTTCTGTTCTGCTCTACTTTCTATTCTATTCCATTGCCTTCAACACCACTCCATATTCTGTTCTGTTCCTGTTCCTGTTCCTATCCCTATCCCTATCCCTATTCTATTCTATTCCATTCCATTCCATTCCTATTCCTATTCCATCCCTTCCCATCGCAATTCCTATTCTATTCTGCATTCTATTCTGTTCTGTTCTAATTTCTATTCCTATTTCCATTCCCATTCCCTATTCTATTCTATTCCTATTCCATCCCATCTCATCCCTTCCCATCCCAATTCCTATTCTATCTGCATTCTATTCTGTTCTATTCTGTTCTAATTTCTATTCCCATTCCCTATTCTATTCTATTCTATTCCTATTCCATCCCATCTCATCCCTTCCCATCCCAATTCCTATTCTATTCTACATTCTATTCTGTTCTGTTCTAATTTCTATTCCTATTAACTCCCTGTCCTTCCCAGGGTATCACTCTGAAGCTCAATGAGAAGAAAAGCTGCATGGTGGCCAGGATCCTCCATGGGGGCATGATTCACAGGCAAGGTAAGTAGAAGCTGAGCTGGAAAAATAGAGACAGGCAGTCCTTGACTTACGACAGTTCACTTAGTGACCATCTGAACTCACAACAGCACTGAAAAAAAGTGACTTATGACCATTTCCCCACCTTTCGACCATTGTGGCATCCTCATGGTCATGTGATCAAAATTCGGGCACTTAGCAACTGACTCATATTTATGACGGGTGCAGTGCGCCATTTGTCAAGCTGTGGGTTGTTCCCTCTTGTTCTTGGCATTCGGGAAAATCTGCTCTGACGCTTCACCATTATTTGTGTCCTACCTTGGCAGGTTTCCTTCACGTGGGCGATGAGATTCTCGAGATCAATGGGAAGAGTGTGGCCAACCATTCTGTAGACCAGTTGCAGAAGATCTTGGTAGGTTTGGGGGTCCAAGGAAAGCGGGGGGGGGAGAAGAAATCATTGGGCATAAGCCAGGGTCTTTGGGGTGCATGTTTAACCTTCAATGGTTATTTTAAAAAGGAAGTTATGAGAAGGAATATCCAGATGCAACTCTTACCGTCTTCACCGAAAGAAAATATATTCTTGAAGACACATGAAAAATGCTGTGGTGGTCTTGAAATTTATTTAATGGTCCACAATTCCAGTAAGTTTGAGAATCAAGGTTTAGCATCTTAGCCAGCATGTCAATCCAAGATTTTTAATTATAGTTTGAAAATTCGATGGTATTCACACATAAGGGGTTAGGTAGAATTCACACGTAATGTTAAGCCATAAGAATTGAATTTACTCATCATGGGAAGTCTGACACCATCAAACCACTCTAAGGCTCGGTGTTACTTGTAAGCAGTGGTGGGTTGCAAATCCCATTCCAACCAGTACAGGGCTGGCAGCGTCCTCATGGATGCACGCATGTGTTCAAGCATCTCCGTGATGCTCCAGCTGTACGCGCCATGTGCCTGCACAGAAGCGCAGAAGAAACATCCAGCCCCACGGAAATTGTGAACGTTGCGGTTTTTGTTTTAAAGTGTTGTCTTTGTCCAGTTTTCCCCTTCCTTTGTCTATTGTGAGCCGCCCGGAGTCCTTCGGGAGTGGGCGGCTTACAAGACAAATAAATACAAATACAATACAAATAGAAGCCTTTAAACTCCAGTAAGGAGCTCGGGTGGGCAGGTGGGCCCTCCGGAGCACCGTACCAGAATGGTATCCAGTGCTCCGGGCTGGCTCTGGTATGCCTGCAACCCACCACTGCTTGTAAGCCAGACTTCCTTCCTGCCTCTTATTTCCCTTTGGGGTCAGCTAGCTTTGAGCTTTGAAATTCAGCACGTTTTTTCCAGGAGAAATCCTGCTAGGTATGGTTTGAACATTAGATCCTCTGCCTGGTTAAGCTCATCAGTTCATTTTTCCCAGACTGCCAGGACAATATATATATCTTTTGAAATGCTTTGGTAAGTGTTCTGACCTAGGCTTCCCAAAAGCACGAAGCTGACTCCTCGTCCCGATAAAACCTTTTTTATTTAGTTTTAAAGTGAATTCCTCTCCAGCCAAGTCCCAGCCAACAGTCTTTCAAGAGATTTCACAACTACAGACCTTTATCAGGCTTGGAGAGCTGCCAGGCTGATATCTTCCAAATGCCACGCTGAAGCAGACAATACTTGGCAAGAAGTCAGGAAGAGATCTTCACCCTAATGAATTGAACTAATTGTCTCCTGAAAACTCCCCTCCCCTTTTGCTCTTCTTGATTCCCTCTGGGAGGGGCCACTCATTGTCCATCTGTGTCTTTACTCCCGAGTTGACCCTTGTTCCTTAGCTGCTCCCTTCTCCTGGCATGTGCACACTGGGAACAGGCTCCAGCTGTTCTTCTGCCCCACTGATGTCTGACTCTGAAGGCAGCTGATAACTGTCAGACGGCTCTGGCCCCCTCTCTGCCTCCGACACAGAGCCCTCATCAGAGCTCTCCCCAGACTCCAGGACTGGCCCATGTTCCTCCACAATCTCCTCACTGCCTGAATCCGGTGGCCACTGGCGGGCCACAGCAGTCAGATTGAAGAAGTCAGGACAGGGTTCAAAATCACTACGAGTTTGTTTCATGCTATTTATGCACAAGAATCTGATCTACTAACAAGGCGAATTGGTGCCAGATAAGAGTCAATGGACCTTTTTTTTTAAAAAAAGGGGGTGGACTTGGGCCTGTTATGAGGGCATACAGATTCCAAACTGATGGTGTCTTTGACTCTGCCCTCCACCTAGCATCTCCTATTGCTTCTGTGGAATTTCAGAGGTGACTTATAGTCTCATCTGTGTTTGCATTTTGGTTGACTGAAGAAGGAACATTCGAAAATTGATTCCATGGTTGGTCTGGAAACCATTTCTTAATCTAGAGGATGTTTTCTCTCTCTCTCCTTTTAACCTCTAGAAAGAAATCAAGGGAACGGTCATCCTAAAGATCATTCCCAACCAGCAGAACCGCATTCTGCCACTTCAGGTGGGTAGAACATTTTTAATTAGCAGTTTTACTATGAGGTGATTTTGTTTTCCAAAAAAAACAATAATAATATTACAGATTTAAAAAAAACAGAATGGGTTTTGCACTTGGTACGTAACATGGATGTATCTTTGCTTGATCTGCTCAGCCAAATTCTACTCCTGTCTCTTCACAAAGAGGATGCTGGCTGGGGAATTCTGGGATCTGAAAGTTGGCCAAAAACCCTGGTGTAGGGATTGGAAAATGCTTTCTCTCCTCCCTTCTGTTTTTTTTCCCTTTCCTTTTTTATTTTTTTTACATATGTGTATTACTGCTTTCGGGGACACGGTGGCTCAGTGGCTACGACGCTGAGCTTGTTGATCAGAAAGGTCGGCAGTTCAGCGGTTCGAATCCCTAGTGCTGTGTAACGGAGTGAGCTCCTGTGACTTGTCCCAGCTTCTGCCAGCCTAGCAGTTTGAAAGCATGTAGAAATGCAAGTAGAAAAATGGGAACCAACTTTGGTGGGAAGGGAACAGCCTTCCGTGCGCCTTCGGCGTTTAGTTATGCCGGCCACATGACCACAGGGATGTCTTCGGACAGCGCTGGCTCTTTGGCTTTGAAACAGAGATGAGCACTGCCCCCTAGAGTCGGGAACAACTAGTACATATGTGCGAGGGGAATCTTTACATTTTACTACGGTATTACTGCTTTAGGTCTTACAGGATGGAGGTCCAGCAGCACAATGTCCAAAGAACTTGGGAGAAACAGAAGCCCCCCAAATTCTTGGATTGCAACTTTTTTTTTGTCCGTTCTGAAGTACCGTAGCTTCTCCCTTCCTTAAAGCCAAGTCAAGCAAAGTTCAGAGTTCTGTAGCATGCCCAGGAAGCAAGTAATCCACACAGATTAATTATTTAAAAGAGAGAGAAAAGAAAGCAGCAGGATAAAAAGGCTGATTAAAGTTCAACGAACCTCTGCAGAATCTCGGGGGTTTCACTTAAGAACAAGAGAGAGCTGGCAGCTTGAAATCTTTGCTGGAGCCCCAGCGAGAAACTGTTGTGTGGATTTCCCCCCCCCCTGCCCTTTAAATAAATCACATTGTTGGGGCTGCAGATTCTTGTGAGGAAAAGCTATTTTAAGTGGCATCTCTTTCCTATTCTTGGAAATAAACCAGATACACCATGCTGAACATACCCTGCTCAGGAACCACTGCAGAATTGATCCGTGCTGTTTAATGCATCCATTTTTCCCCAGAACTCTCAATCTACAGATTCCATTTCTCTCCCCCTTTGGTGTTTATTTTTCTTCCTCCTAGTGGATCTCTTCCAACTTTTGACTGCTGCAAAGCCAATAAAAATGGATCCCCGGGAAGCTTTGGCTAGCGGTGTGTGATCTAGAGACAGCTCATGTCAGGGAGTCGTCTTTCTCGCAGAAATGACTGCAATGCTGGTTTTATTTTCGTCTGTTTACTTGTAGTATTTATAACCTGCTTTTTTCGAGTGGAGAGGGACAACAAGAAGAACAAATATTATTATTAGGTTTACAGCCTATAAGGCAATGCAAAATGCAAAAAGGAAAAAGAAAAAGAAAGAAAGAAAGCCAGTTGGGGAAGGAAAAGAGGAAACTGTCACACATCATTGCATGTTGTGCAGATGTTAAGAGTAAGAAATATTGCTGCCTCTGAAACATAGTTAGAGGTTGTTGGTCATTTCCTCCTGGCTATCTGGAATGGGTTAATTGTCCTGCAGAACAAGTGGTAGAAACAGATAGACAAAGATGCATGGAAATACACAGGCTCAGGTGAATAAAACTGGTTGAGGGAGGGAGGGGAGGTGTGAGGGAGGAGAAGGAAGGAAGGAAGACAGGCAGGCAGGCAAGAAGGGAAGGGAGGATGGATGGATGGATGGATGGATGGATGGATGGATGGATGGAAGGAAGGAAGGAAGGAAGGAAGGAAGGAAGGGAAAGAAGGAAGGCAGGCAGGCAAGGAAGGAAGGAAAGAAGGGAGGGAGGGGAGGGGAGAGAATGGAAGGGAAGGAAGACAGACAGATAGGAAGGCAGGCAGGCAAGGGAAGGAAAGGGAGGGGAGAGAATGGAAGGGAAGGAAGACA